AGTTTACTAATTTATCCAACGTTTATGTTATTTTTGATTTGGCTGACGAAGATTTAGTATAGTCGAAATGGTATAGTCGTTCCATGGTTTTTTATGACATCGAATACTAGTTAATTGTTGATAATTGTTGGATAATATATTAGCTTAAATTAAAATTTTCCTTTACTCATTTTCTTTTTACTTACTCATTTGATTTTTGTGTTTGCAATATCGAGCGAATTATGTCTTTTCTTATTATATATATTAGGTTGTTCGGAAAGTAATTTCGTTTTTTCTTATGAAAATGAAAGACGATTTTCAATCAGACGCGTTTCAAATGATCATGAACGGTCGAATTCGATAAATTTAATCTCTCAGCGATCTCACGAGTTGTTATTCGCCGGTTTGCATCAATTAATGCCTTTATTGTGTCTTCATCAGCTTCAACTGGCCTTCCAGAACGTGGTGCGTCTTCAACATCAAAATTGCCGGATCGAAATTTTGCAAACCAGTTTTGGCACTGGCGTTCTGTCAATACATCTTCTCCATACACATCGGATAATTTTTTTCTTGCTTGAACAGCATTTTCACCTTTTCGATAATAAAAAAGTAAAATATGCCGAAAATGCTGCTTTTCACTTTCATATTTGGTAGGGCACCAACCAAAAATTACTGCGTAGAATCAATCAAACTTTTTTCACAAGCAAGCCTTGCTATATCAGTTGTCAAAATATATAATGATTATGCGGCTTAAGTGTGAAGTTGGCTGTGAAAAATACAATTAAGTCCTCTGTTGGGAAAAAACGAAATTAGTTTCCGAACAACCCAATATATATATATATATGTATGTATGTATATTATTGGCACCAAAAATGACTATGAAGTATATATTAGTTATTATTACCATAAACTGATTGCAATTATTATAATTTAACTATAATTCTTAGTAATCTTCAGTGCTAATTATTACATATTTGTTAATGGAACCTTTCATATAACCATACGTATATTATTACTAATAATTTTTAGCAGTAATAACTGCAATTATGTTAACATGCAATTATATAGTCACAAATATCAAAAAAACTTTTCTCTCAGTTAGTCGTTATTTTTTGTGTCTATTGATTTCTTTAATACATCTTTAATGTCTTATAACGAATTCGATTGGACGTACTACAAATACGCATTACAAATTAAAGCTGGTGTACATTTGATCTGTGAAAAAGTAAAATGCAAATATTTCGAATGATAAAATATAGATTTTATTTGACGGCACAATGAAATGTATTGATGTATTTTTATTATTATTTATATTAAACATATCTTTAAGTTAATTTGTATACGGCTTTAATATGTATTAGTGCGCATTGAGTATGTCCAATCGAATTCACTAATAGATTTCCTTAAGTGACAAACGCCAATGATATTAATTTTACGATGGCGATTATATAATGATATTTTCAAAACATTAAAATATCGATCTAAAGCATTTCAGACATGCATAGACAAATTTCGAAACTGTGCAGCACATGTTTGGATTAGTTGTTAGAACAACAGGCATTAATGTTTATTTTAACTTACGCTTATAAATGATAAGACCAGTCGATGTACTAGAGTAATTATTCCAATTGTGTTGCTACGTGGAATCGAAGATTCACGAAGTGATATAAATACAGCTCTCTGGATCAATTTCACACGTACACTTTCGTCTCGATGTTGCAAATGAATTCTAATTTTTAGTTCTCTGATATCTGTTTATGTGAACGTCATCGACGCGAGACTCATTTTCTGTAATTCTAGTATAAGAAAATGCGACATTTTAGCGACGTTCGCGCGCGCACGCACGCACGCGCGTGCGTGTGTGCGGACAATTGTTCCGCGAAGAAGATGAATCTGTATTCACTGTATTGGCATCATCCAATTTTACGGTAACGATTATATATAAATATAAAAGACATAATATAACTGCAACTGATCTCGCCTGGAGACGGTAACAGAGAAGTTAATTAAAATCGCCGTCAATTCTGCCTTGCCGCGCGTCGTCGCTCGCGCACGTGACGCGATTTGACAATGAGTCACGTCGCGTCGAGAGAGGGACGTTCGGATCTTCGTTGGGCTCCGTCGCGCGACTGTAAAAGATCCGTTTGTTTATTTCCACGTGGCACAATACTTAACATACAACATTTCTATGATGCCCGGCGCGCGGGACGATGACGAGCACGACGACAAGCGGGCGGACGGTGGTGTGCGTCGCGTGTTTTGTTTGCGCGTTTTCTTTTGTCGCGTGTATGTCCAGCTGCGCGTTGAGAACGCGGCCGGCTCATGCAAATGCACGGCACACAATGTGCCTCAATAGCCTCCACGTATTTATGCTATATGCTATCCGGTTCAGTATTTTCCACCGCGACTGTTTATTTCTGTGCCTCGTACACGGGGAATACGCGAGGCTCTCTCTTTTTAGAAAAAGAGGTGGAAAAAAGGAGGATCGAAGAGGGAGAAAGAAAGAGAGAGAAAGTCAAGCCTTACGTTGGTGCGCGCGCGCGCGCGCGCGTGTGTGTGTGTTTGCGTGTGCAAGCAGGTTCTTCTTTTTCCTCTTTTTTTTCATTCTAGGCCATACAAGACTCGCGCATGGACGAATCACAGGATCTTGAATTTCAGCGGATCTAAGGATCCTATGAGTATCTCCTCTGCAGGGAGAACAGTGGTCTCACTTCTTTCTCACGAAGGAAAAGCAAGTTCCATCGATCGCGCGCGACGATCGTTACACGTCGTATCACCTCACCACCCTATGCGCGTCGCGCGTGGAAACAAACGGAGTTACATTTTGTAATTACACCCCTCGGGTTGGTGCCGACTTCGCGTAGTAATCGATCACGCGTTCTTGCGGCTCGTTTTCAAAATTTACGACTTTAAAGTCTCCGGGACGTTGCGCATTATTTAACGGCGATTGAAGATTTGTTCGTATTTTCTTCGAGATTCAGAAACTGTTGTCCCCGCTTTTTCAAGCTTAATACAAAGATGTTATCGCAAATGTTATTTGAAATTTTTCTACAAGCTTAGAAATACAAAGAGACACTGTGTATGAAATTAAATAAAAAGGATATTGTGTGTGTGTGTG